AAATCACGGCTTTTTCATATTCTAAAAATGCCAAAGGGTTTTTCTGATAAAAGTAAAAAACGTTTAAACAGTTATGATATGTTTCAAATGGTTATACCATTTTTCGTATTTTATAATACCTTTATCTTTTAGAGAGTAGTTCCCTACTAATGGGCAAAATATGATATGTAATCACTTTAGGGGGCTTCTTTAGATGGTCCTAGAAAACGATCGAAATATCCGCCATTTTAGGTGAAAGTCTGCAAGTTTTTTCAGCCAGAGCTGTTTTCTGACCACTTCCTACCTAACTACTACAAAAAAAGTCAAAAACCCCTTTTTCCAAAAAGTGGTTGGATACCCATGAATTTACCCACGTATTTTGAGCTGCTCCATCACATCAATGACAACTGAATAAGATTGAATGATGTTACCAGCGCACTCCACTAAGTGTTCCTAAGGCGTATCTATAAGGATAAAGTTCGATTTAATGTTATAGATGCATAACATTAAAAGGAATCTACCTGGGATCCGGTTCAGGCGTACCTCAAGTGGACAACAAGCGTTCACATATACTTTGAGTACTCAGTCATACAAACAACGATTCTATTTGACTGACTGATGCCATCAGCGTACACTACTAAGTGTCCCTAGGATATATCCAAAGAGACAAAGTGTGATAACGTGTTATCTCTGTGTAGCAATAAACTCAAACTAGCTGGGATCCCCAGGTGGTCGTACCAGGGTTAACTGAATTAATCATTAAAATAAAAAATAAAATAAAATAACTTTTATTATAAATCTTTCTTCTCTTTACTGTTACGTTACAAAACTTTTTCTTATAAATCATCATAGATTTGGGCAAACATTCAAGTAACTGACACTCCAGCACGTATGGATTTTGATTTAACCCAGAGAAAAAATTGGAGACCGTTTTTTGATAATTCATTTCCAAAACCAGCAACATTTGACACCATACAAGTATGTTTTCATAAAAGTTCTTTTCTACGTATTAATTCTTCTTCTATTGTTTAGCCAACTGATTTACATTATGAAGCAACACGATCAGAAGATGTTGATTTTATTCAAAAAACAATTCAAGAAACATTAAGAAATAAAATAATTGAGTGGCGAGAACCACATGTGACACGATGGCATTGGCTATGTCAAAAGAAACTTCAAGAGCTTATTAAAAGGTAAATAAAAATATTAGAAACAAAAAGTTCTTTTGAAAAAATGGCCGGTATTGTTTAGAAAGGAACTTTTCATCGTACGAAATACAATGCAAGAAGTTGATCAAGAACTTACAGAATTTCAGAATACACACAATGTGAGTAGACGTGAAAGGATCGTATTTTCCATTAAAAATATTTATGTGTCTGTTTTGTTTCAGATATCTGGTTTTCCTCTTCAAATGCCCTATACATCAATACAAGCAATACTCGATGCGGTACAATCGACAAAAATATTTGAACATCCAACAAATGAAATTGAATTTTGTCTAGCTGTTCATATACATGCATATCCAAATAATATTCTAGCTGTTTGGATATATATTGCGAATTTAACTAGAAAAATCACTTAAATCACATACATTTTTTATATCTGATTTTTAGATGCTAATACTTTGTTGTATACTTTTAATACTGTTTTTTATACTTAATTTCTACATGTACAATAAATTTAGAAGATAAAACATGAATGCATTTTAAAAAAATTATCTTATTGATAGAAATAACATTTAAACTAACTAATTCTATTCTTTGATGAAATATTACATCTTAAATAGAAACCATTTCATTTCACTGTTAAATATTGCTGAAGCCAAGGTTTGATCATTCGTTCAGATCTTTGCCTGTTTTAGTAAGAGAGAGTAAATTATTCAGCCATTTTATTAATGTTGGATGGTAATTCAAGAACTTATTGTTAGAAATACATAAAAGTTCAAGTATTCATATAGAGACAAAAACAATCAGTTGATACGTGAAGGATAACAGATATGACTGTACCTCTGTTTCATCATTCTTGACAACATACTAATAACTAAACGCATCTAAGTTTTTCTTCAAGAAATGAACATTCTACAACAGATTACGTCTGGAACTCCATCGTTCTGTTATCTGTTTAATAGTTTTCTGCAAATGGATCCCACCCTTAATCTTTCTTTTAATTATGTACTGAGATGTTATATATATAATACACAGTTTTACTTTTTTCCGTAAGTGTCCACAAAGCACTAGCTAGGAATGCTTTTAAGGTAGTATTTGCAAAATTCTTTGTTTTATTTAAAAAAACAAATAACAAAACAAACAAAAAAAAGAAATTCGTATATTTTCTGTTTCCTAGTAATATTTCTCAATTAGACTTATTCTACGAGAACAATACATTTATACATAATAAAAAAGAAGACATGAAGAACAGTGACAATGATGATGATAGAGAGAGAGAGAGAGAGTTTTCACAAAAAGAAAATGAAAACAAAACGAATTCGTTCCTCAATATAATGAAGAAAGAAACCGCACGCGCGAGAGATATATAAACGATCTTTGTTAATACTCGAACGTTGACATTTTGAGACGAAATAACAAAAAAAGTTAGAAAAATGCAAGAATTTTGAGAATATTTTTTTTAATGTTTTTTCTAGAAAATGACTCACACAATACAAGCACAAAAATACACAGAAAACAAAGATATCATATGTCGGTAAATACAAAAGAAAAGAAACACAAGAACAAGAAAAAGGTGTGTCATAAAAAAAGAAAGCAAAGAAAATGACCTGATCGTGTGTATTGACAAGTAAACAACAAGTAAATAGATTTTTAAATAAAAGATTTCAGACTAACAACGTAAACAGTGAATATGTGAAAATAGATTTTCTATTAAAGGTTGATGCTGCGTCTGCTACTTGAAGGACGAAATAAGAGAAAAAACATCAACAAAAGAAAAATGGCATTCAACTCAAGATCTAACACATAAAACTAAATGTTCTTTATTAACCTTCATGCGCAATATGCTGTTACTGTTCGATACACTCAAAGAAAAATAAGATGTTCTTGTATTCATCACCGGTTCAAGATATGTTAAATCCGTTTATTATTGTGTCATTCGAGCAGTAGACCGTAATTTCATATGTAAATTTTGTAATGTTTGTAATTGACTTGCAGACATTACTGAAACATTCTGTTGTGCAGTTGTTGTTGATGGTAAAGAGGTGGTGGTTGTTGCGCTTGAGGTTGATAACTGATGTTGTCGGGATGTTTGAAAGACGTTTAACGTAGCATACTGAAATGCTGCACGAGCTTGCTGAGTAACAGATGTCAACTGTCTAATTGTGTATGAAACACGTGCAAATGCTAGAAAACACAATAACAAAATCATTTTTCATTAAAAATGCTACACTGTTGTTTAATATCTGATTATTTTTCTAAAGGATGCGAATGAAACTTAAATTTATAACATAAACTAATCGAAGAGCAAAGTATCGCTCTTTTATTCTTTTGTCGAAACTTTGTGTGAGATTTAGTCACAATAATTATAGACTGGTTGTTGGTCCGATATTCATATTTTTAAATAATTTTTTTACCTGCTTGAGTTATTGTATCGTTCATGTAATAATTATCTGTAACTCTCAATTTAGCCTCTTCTTCTTGATGAACAAGTTCAGCAGCAATAATTGCTTCCCGCCACGATTTGAATACAAATAGCAAATCTCTCAAACGTAATTCTGGTCTACCGGTAGCCATTAATTCATAAACATGATTGGCCTGTTTAAAAAAGGACAAAATATATCAGTCGCAATAAGAATACCATCTCGAAAAATCTTACCGAAATTTGTAATTTTTTACATTTAAATATGAAATATTCTGGAATAATGAGTACTTGTGCAGAGCAACTTCTCTGCACAACAGTATCCATTAATGATAACATATTTAAACTTACATAGTTTTGAACCTAAATCAGAGCAAACAAGATGAAATCAAATACACTATCTTTCAAACGGACAGAATCGTTCTGTATTTCGCGACTATTTGAAAAATTAGATAGGTAAAACAATGAAAGCAAAAACTATGAAATGACCAGAAAATCTTGTAATCACGAAGATATTTGGGTGTTTTTGAATTATGTTCTTATTCATATTCATCTTTCTTACATACCCATCTTTGCTCTTGTATAAGCGCATTTAATTCATCAAATCCACGATAGCACAGTTCGTTCAAATTCACTAATAATTCATTTATGTTCGTTGTCGTTGTTGGAGATATAATGGACGGTTGTGTTGAATTTGATAATGTTATTATAGATGATATTTGTTGTTGCTGCTGTTGTTGTTGTTGTTGTTGTTGTTGCTGCTGCAAAGTCATAAATCTCATTTTTCGTTGTAAGTTTATGTTTGCAGAAGGAGCCGAAGGTTTTACTGAACGATTTGCCACATTACGTTGTTGAATTTCATTCCATTGTTGTTGTATTTGCACATTATCTGCATTTGTTTCTACATCATTTCCAGACCAGAAGTGAGATGTTTTGCTTGCTGAGAATGTATTGTCTACTGGTGCTTGTTGAGTCATTGTTGCTGATAAACGCAAAAGATTTGTGTAAAATGCATCACACTTTTCTTCTTCTAATCCATTATGAGTTATTTTGTTATCATTTGGATTATTCGTGTTCTGAACGGGAAAATGGAATATTGATGACGGTTCGTTATTAAACAAATGTTTTCGACTCTGACTATTAGCTGATAGCGATGTTATTACTGACGATGATGATAACTGCTCATCGATGCTACATGTGGATGACTTGCTCGATGATGAAGCGGTTGATGAGCAAGAGACTGTTTGAATTCGTGATTCTTGTTGTTGATCTAACTGCCTAGACGATGCTGGTTTTGTTAACGAACGTTCAGACAATTCTGTTGAATTTGATTGATTCGTCGGAAATTCTAAATGGTATAATAAGGAAGAACGTTCTACTTTTAGTATAAAACAGATCGATAAAACAAGTACATGAAAAAAAAGCTTATCAAATAGGTATTTTTCTGCTCTGTTATTGGGTGCAATCGAATAAGTAAACGTTCTACATAAATAAAATCTCATAGACATTTCAAATCCTCAATGAAAATATTAAAAGTCTTCTTACCTAACGGCGCATGCATAACAACCCCATTTGGTGACATTTTCGAAACATTTGTTGAACGTGGATCAGTTTTTTCTAAAGTTGTGCTACTTGATTGGGGTGTTTTATTATCGTTAGCATTATTATCATTATGAAATGGATACAGTAGATTATTCTCATTATCATATAATAATGAAAAATTTGAAAGACAAGGATTATTATTATTATTATTATTATTAGCGTTCATCTGACTTGTTGCAGTTAATGAATAATTTAAATTTGAAAAAAAAATTGATTGTTCATTCAAAGAATGAGATGATGAAGAAGAAGGCAAATATTCAATTGAATTATTGCTAACGGGCATTAATAACTGACTTCTAAGTGTATCTGATGTGTGATTTGCTTCGGCTGTTGATAAAGTGGACGTTGTCGGTATGTATAAAGATGATGAAGATGCTGACGATGAAATAGATTTGATTTGACCCTGAAATTATAGGAATATGGAATGTAATCTAACTAGAGCAAAAGCAAATAACTAGAGAAAAAGCAAATATTTACGATATTTATTGGACATTCACGTTCGTTCAGAGCATGAAGTGGAGGAAATCCAGGCGGTGGAGGGAGGGATATATGTGATGGTAGTGCCGCTTGTTTAAATAACGATGGTGATGAAAAATCGCTTAATAAAGATTGTTGTTGTGATTGTTCATCGTGAATTGATGTTACTGGAGAAGAAGAACAAGCTAAATCTGTAAATGTTTGTAAAAGTACATCATCTATGGCACTATCGGATGTATCGTGAACCATTTTTCGATTATCTGTATCGGGGGTTGATAATGACACGAACATACCAGGTAGTTCTGAGTCATTTAAAATATAACTGGTGTTATGAGTTTTATCTGTTGATAAGGAAGCCGCACATTCGTCGATAGTTGTCATTGTTTCCACTAAGTCTTCAAATAACATGGACGGATAATAAGATTCTGCTTTTTGATTAATTAGTGTTGTGGATACTAAAGATATCAAAATAAAAACGTTAATAACAATAATAAATAATTATGTTAACAGGGAAAAACAACAATTACCGATATCACTAGTTAGATTGTTTTGTACACGAATAGGTGTGAAATAATATTGTTCCTGAAAACTCACAATGGCACTATGAATAAACCAAAAATAAAAAAAATAAGATTTTTTGTTTATTTTTCAACAAGGTCTAATAGAATCAACTAAAAAAAAAGCGAAACAGGAAAATTAGCGACGAACTACTTGATCATTCAAAGAACACTAACAACAATAATTCAACGACACACATCCACTTTATGCATCTACTAAAACAGCTTTCTTCGAATCTAACTGAATCAAAAACGAGTAAGTGTCTAGAACAAACTTATCTGACTCACTTGGTATCTTATCTCATTAAATGACAAATAACTGAACGAGCACATGCAAATCATATGAAACAGACGTACTTCGTCAGTATCCCGTGGACCGAGACCATACATGGAGAAAGTACATTTCGCTCATCTATGGTATGGCATGCAATTACACATAAGAATTAATGACCTAATTCGGAGACGTTAGTTAGTACAAGCATGTTTACATTAAATGTTATACTAATTTTCTTTTCGATTTACTTCAGAAAATTGAAACAAAACTTAAAAATAAAAACTTGATGCAAGCGATCTCACGGAAAGATAAGTCTAAATAGAAACAGACTTTTTGTGAGCCAATAAAGTGTTTTTTTTACTGTCAACAGAACGAGAGAACACAAACTATACTTTTCGTAACGAATCGCTCTTACAAAACGAAGAGCAAAAATAACAAACCACGAAGAAAAGACAGCAAAAACGAGAAGTAATACATGTTGCAGTGAATTGACATACAATGTATCAACTAAAACAACATCGAATAGATAGAAGAAAAAGGTAAGTAAATGTGTGAGAGATAAGTAACATCTAAGTTTGATTGCAGCTATTAAGATCGCAGCCATTTTAACTTTCCTCACATCAAGTTGATTTGTACTCGATTGATTAAAGAAAATCTCTGTGAACAGAGAAGTTTAGTTCTGTCGCGAAATTCTGATGTTGTTTGTACAAAGAATGGCTAGCTCTCAAAAACTACAATAAACGTGCTAATGTGCGAAGCTGTAGTTATGTACATGCACAAAATCGTCCAGATAAAAATTTAAAAATATTGATTATTGATTAATTTTGTAAAAATAACACAAACCTTTTTCGTTTCTTCTGATGGACAACAGTGCGCAAATCACTTTCCAATATTAAAGTAACTTCTTTATCACAGTCATTACAGTCGTTTGAGAAACTAAAGTTTATAAGCTGGTAGTGCTAATGATTTGATTTTCTTAGATAGCAACGAAAGATTTGTAAATAAAAATCGAAAATATCACCTTAATCTAGGAGAAAACTCAATAATTCCCAAAATAATATCTTAAAAATCTGACAACCTTCTCATACAGAGAGGGAAGGAAGGAGGGAGGGAGAGAACGTGTAATTATGGTTATGTTATTTAAAATCAATGGAGTTTATTTTTATTAATTGTGCTCGTACGTAAATGTATCATCACTTGACGAAGAATACAAACATAGAATAACCTACTTTTTTGAATTTTGCACAATTAAATCGTGAGAAGAAAAATCACTATTTAAAACTATTGGTTTGATTAATTCAAAATTATTTTCTAGGCCGATATTATTGATGTTTGATAAATTGTCACTGTTGAATATTTGTACTGATTTGTTATAGTTCATTGGATTTCGCAAGAGAGATGTGTCGTTTCTCTCTACCTGATAGAAAAGAAAAATAAGAAAACAGTAGAGATACGCTCAGATTCTTTTTGGGTCATTTGTTAACATCCTACCTGAATAACGAATTAACTAAATTTTTTTAATTCATGCACTGATTCTTCGTGAAAAAACTTTACATATTTTTCTTTTTAAATGTACTCAGAAGATATAGTTAAAATACTTCTAAATTCACTAGCACATATGACAGACATAAAAACAGCATGTCTAATGTATCACAGACTGCAGTAAAACAATGTTTCTTTTCAAGGTCGTGAATGTTCAAAAATATTATTATTATTATTATTAATCTACGCTATATTATTTTTTTCTTTAGGCTTTCTGGTTGCCGTTTTTCCTTTTTGTTATCTCTCTCGACGTCGTTCTCTATTGCTGCTAACAAAATGAGCATAATTTAAAGTTAAAATATGGCTGCTCCCTGTAGCCTGTGAAATTGCAAGAAAAGAGAGGCCAGTAGTACAAATATCAGTCTTACAGTTACAAAGTAAACACATACCATCAAAAGAGAGATTATTTTATAAAAATATTCCTCGTCAATTTTAGCAAAACTTTTCAAATTCCAACTCTGTGATGGATACAGATGGCGCTGCCACTCGAAAAGATGCAGTAATTTCTTTGACTGCCTTTGTTTAAAGGTAAAATCATATACACATGCAGATCTTAACTTATCTGAATTTGGTTTCTGGTAAGTTTTGATTCGTACGCAAAGATTTTTGAAAAATTATACATCAGTTGAATTTGCAAGAGTCCAAATAAGTAAGATAAGATGTGTACGTGAAAGTGAACGTACATATCATAGCTTTTAGTCAAGCTCTCTTAATCTGTCTCTGTCGACTTTTAAGTTTTTTCTCTCAGGTTCCGATAAATATTGAAAAATATATTCCTTAAATCTACTTTTATGAATAGGTTAATGAATAAAGACTTTTGAATTAATGTTCCAGATATATCTCCAATACCGCACTCTAAAAAAAATGCGACTTAAAATAAGACACTATAAGTCGGTTGACGATTACTCGTATGTATGGGTCTTAAATAAGATGGATTTTTTTTAGAGTGTGGCGAGCTATGATTTATTCAAATTTTCTCTTTAATTCTATTGATTGACTTATTAACTATTGAGAAAATTGCTTTTATTGTTGTTTTTCGTTGTCGGCGACAGTGAACTGTGTCGAAGTTAAAAAAATTAATATCGATGGCGCTTCTTAGAATTCGTAGTTTTCTATTCATACTTATTAAATCAATGTGTTCTTCTTGCAACGAAAAGATCTTTTGCTCTTCGTGAATGGATCACAGCTCTCAGCACTTGTTCTAAATGATGATGTATGTACTCTAGGATAAATTCATATCAACGTGAAGGAAAAAGTAACGTTCATTTAGAGTGTTTTTTTGGTATTCAGCACACTCGCTAACCCTAAAGATTTCTATTTTTGGCGAGAGATACTGCCAAAAGTTTAAGAAAAATTTTGAAAATAATATTTTTCTACCATCGAAATTTTTATTCGCTATTTTGTTCGAAAATTTTTCCTAAACTTTTGGCAGTATTCCTCGCCAAAAACAAAAAATCTACAGGATTATTGAGTGTACTGAATAGAAAAAAAGCATTTTTCCATGACTCTAAGTGAACTTTCTATTGGTGATACCGAACAATTGAAGAAAAAAATTCATTAGTTATGAGCAATGATATTCATCCTGTGGTATACTTGAAGCAAACTGTCGAGGATAAAAAATGTTAGAAGGTAATAAATAATACAATTCCATTAAACATACAGAAAACATCTGAAAAACATCCACATTGCTGGATGAATATATATATATATCGAGAGAACAAGAACGAAAATAAATATGAAAAAAATGTATATGAAAGTTAAACGTCCTTCAAATGATTATTAAAAATAAATGAGTATTTGTTAGCATGTTGATCAAATAAGATATCAAGTTTAGATCATCATAATAGTTTTGATCACAAAGCAAATGGTTCAACACAATTTAACAAGAAACTTGCTAATAAAAAAAACTTTTTCTATTATTTTAACGTGTTAAGTACTTCGTCGCTATTCTAAGCACAATTAAAGAGAAGGTGATTACACATTTTGTTAGGAATAGGAGCAGAACAAAGAAAATGAAAGAAAATGTTTTTTATGCGATCATATTGGTTAACATAATTGGAAATTACACTGATAGTACGGAGTTATCATAATTAATAAGAAGGAACGATTATTCAAGTTTTTGTTGTGTGTTTTGTAAAGTCTAGCTTGATTAACTTCATCTACTTCTACTTAAACATCTCTATCATCCATGATTCTTCTTATAAATTTCAGATAAGAAGTTAATAGTCCTTCTAATTGTTTAAAGTTTTGAATTTCACGTAGTGCAATCGGACTATATCGAATTTTAAATAATAAACCTGATAATTTTTCTGTACTTTTATCAGTCATTTTTTCAGATAAACGACGAATCATGTCATCAATCGAATTAAATTCTGTAAAAACTTTCATGTATTGAAATCAACGATAACGCACATTAGTTCGATACTAACAGGTATCTGACAAATATAGCAGACGAAAGTTAATTCACACACACGCCTTACCTACTAACACGAACCTTCCAGCTGCTAAATTCCT